GACCTGTGAGCTTATATGAAAAATAGACTACTGTTCTAAGCTTCCGGGTCTCAATAACAGGATAAAACGATCACGAAATTTTCTCAGTTAGCACAAAATTGCTTACAACCCCCCACGGATATCCATGATATTTCTTTGTTTTACGCCAGTATAAACCGACAGCAATTATACCATGCGCCTCCCAGTTAACTCACTTACACGGATACAACATTAGCTGTTAAAAAATTTAGTTGGATAGCACCAAGAACAGTTGACTGAAACCGAATGAATCCAACAAACAAAGATTCCTCTCTTATTATCAAAATGCAGCCACTGTTTTGTGAGCACCATTAGATACACAAGCTGCTTTCAACTTAAGAAGAAAAATGGACAGCCGTTCCCACTGCGCTCAGCGATTCAACGAGCAAAATATCTGCCACAGCGCTGTCACCCAAAGTCTTCAGTGCATTTATGCGGAAACGGTTAAATTGTTAGCTAAACAGGATGGATTGTTATTCCACAAAATCAAACGCGCTGACCTAGTTCAATTCTACTCATTTTGAATCAGCTACCTTTTCCTCACTAGCCTAACGATTACACACAAGGATCTATAAGCATTTTGGCTGACAGACAATGCATAATCCGCTTGTAGGGATTTCAAACATCCTGTTAGTTTCCCATCTCTTAATGCCTTCTAGTAACCAACATCCAGTGGAAATTTAGAAAAATCACATAAGCACTCACGAACTCGCGTTTGTGTCTGGTTCATTGTTCTTCGCTACTATTGTGTGTGTGCGCAGAATTACGTGTCTTTTTTCAGCAATCTGATATAACACGTGGGATTATGGCTCGGCGTCCGTCTGTACAATGCTAGTCCGTCGCATTAAGATGGGTTCATATCGTAAAGTGAATTTAACCATTATTTGACAGCCAGCCGTTACCTACGTCTGTACTTTACATTGAAACTTGGAAAGTTTCGTCTCGCTGCTCACCACTTAAATACCTGCAGGATTAAGCTCTGATATTTCCTAGAGGTAGACAATAGCGGACTGTTAAATTAAAAAACGACTGAACTAGCTGTTTAGTTGCTTTTTAATTCCTTAGTCAGCTGTTATCCACCTCTTAAATGAACAGTGTTATTTTCAGGAAGATTCATTTAAACACAGCCTACCAGCTCAGTTTTCTGGCATAAGGAGATGGGTTAAATAGGGACCTACTGTGGTCTTTGCAGGCAAGTCAGAGTACCGTTGTCTTGGTTAATAAACAAGAATAGTTGTCGACTGTACAGCACCTGCGCACTGTTTATTGCAGTCGGTAGTTGAAGATGAACCTCAGCCCACGATAACTGTATGGACAACAATTTTGCCGGCCCGTATCCTTAAGAATCAAAAGCGTGCATTGTAATCAGAGGGCCCAGGTTTGAGCCTGCGTAAGGAACGCTCGACCCTCGCAGTATCTTAGTCCACATGCGCCAGTGTTGGTTGCGCGGCCACGAAGCGCCGATACTGCGTACCGGTGTACTGTTGATGCATTTCTGTGTCCATTTGATCAAGCTGTGGCTATCCCTTACTAAGGTCTGGTCGGCCTCAAATATTAGTTGCATTAACTTTAGCTGTTGGATAAAAGAAAGCGGACTGATTGAAACAGCACTACATTTCCTAGCACTATTTTAGTCATTCAGCGGAATTGGGATTCTGTTCTCAGCTGGTGAGTGATGTTCTTTCCATTACCCTCGGTGGGATAATCAAGAAGCTAAATCATTATCGAGTTTACCTAATCAGTGCTGGTTAAGCAGGTAACAAAGGGCCAAGACTATGCATGCGTATACCTCAGCTAATAGCTGATTTCCCAAAATGTGCACTGATATTTTAGTAATTCCTGGTAAAGACATTGTTTAGAATTTAGCAAGCCTAGCTACAGAAGCAATAAGCTAAGTATTATGAACTGCTAAGCACGATGTACTTTATGAGAGTCGTAAAAGTTGATTCCCTTACCAAAACCAGTCTGCAGTTGGGACCAGTGCCACAGATACACACTGCATATTCACCAAGCACAATTATTGTAGACACTTGCAGTTAGGAATGCAGACGGGAGATAAACAAAACCGCTCAGCTCCATGTACGGTACACCACAAGCGGCGTGACAGTGAATAAATTTGACAAGCTCCCGGAATTAGTATCGATGCCTCCGGACACGAACACAACTGTTAAAGTGGCAAGGTATGAGCAGACTTTCGCCAAATGAGTTTCCATTGATTTATTAATCTCTTGGAAAGGTATAGTAGATGTATGCATGTCGTACTGTTAAACTCAGTAGACTGGGCCTTCACTGTTTTGCGTAGGTGAAAACACGTTATTGAAAACGTTTCGTCAGCGGTTTCCACCGTGTTCAGTTGATTGGTTGGAAATAGTAGACGACTGAGCAGATAGAACAAGATGAAATCACAGAACAACCTCCATAGTGGCTACAAATAAAATCACACAAAATAGGAGGATGCTCACTCTAGGCTTCACCGAGTGATGAACGTTGTTATAGTGTCATTATCAAATGGTATTTTGCGCGACAAACCCGGCTGGTATAATCCGGCACAACTAAAGAACCCACTAAATCTTTCCAAACAAATCGACAAATGCTTAACTTACAATGGAGTGCAAAAGTACACAGTACTATGGGATCTGACAGTTGCATTGAAGACCTTTAGATCATTCCATGGTAAGCTTAAAGTAGCTCGGGTTATCCGAGAATAAGACCCAAAAACTTACTCAATAGCATAAGCATTTTTAATGCTGTATCACTGCTCCGATGTGGCGGAAACATTCAAAGGAAAACAAGTAACACACCGTGAAGTGCCGGTTATCTGTTATACGCAAAGCAACTATCAACTATTGATCGAACTCTGTGTCACATAGAGCACCGAAGCAAGGTAATTTTTACCAATGAGTGATAAAAACACCATACATGATAGTTGGTAGACGCCCGGAAAGGGGAAGTCCCAAGTCTTGGTGAAAGGAGATACAAATTCTAGCAGATGGTAAAAAACTAACGATGATCAAATAAGGGATCACAACAGTTTCCTTCATTACACTGCATTAAAAAGCCAGGGTACTACAATTCAGAGTTAGATCAGCATTAACCTGCGTAACATTAGAGTTTAAAATGTGGAAAACCATATTGCGACAGTAAGTTTATGTCAGAGGTAACGCATCTACGTTAACTCTTGAGGTGGATATTTGAAGGATTTAAAAACGCTTCTTTCGGTAGTGAGAGTCTATAAGTTGCTTTTTATATTCTGCAAGTTTATTAATCCAGTGAGTGGAATGAAATCCGTCAAAAAGAAGATTTAAGATACTGAATCCTATTTGGACATTTTGTTAGAGCAGAGACAATTTTGTTCTGCAAAATGTCAGCTGTTTCATGCCAGTTTATATTTTCTCTTTGAACTGGCCAAGTTAAATTATCGTACCTTAGGTAAAAGCTGAGCAACCTAGAACGTTTTGCAAATACAAACCGTAAACTAATCCTTTGCTTGGTGTTGAAAGGACAAGTTAATTGGCAAATACATCATCATCGACGTTCCGAAAGACGGCTGATTTCATTTGACACACATAAAATCACGCGTTAACAAGCTGCTCGATAACTACCTAGCTACAGGAAGAGGCAAGATGTCACTTCTTTTGCTTGCGCTTTCCATAACAGTGTACGCTTGACGTAGGTTAATTACTAACCCCTAGCATCTTTATCGCAAAGCTAATAATCTCTGCTGAGTTCGAATCGACGATTATATTGTCCTGGTCACCGTTATGGAGACTAGTTTACTAATAGTGTGTGTGCACTGCATCTAAATGCCGTAGTTTACATTGCATTGGCCGGGCCATCCTTAGCACTGTCTATGACCACTTTACATTAAGATTTAATCATAAGGAACTTACAGCGAATTGGGATCCGCATTTCATTTTGTTAGTGGGGATTCTGTACCACTAAACTTTGAATAAATCCACGCTTTGTTTTACTCGTCTGTGGGACCTCTCCAGAAAGTTAAGTGCAATGAAGGGAAAGGATTTTGCTTGCTCTTCCGTAGAATAAATTGCAAACAAATGTCCGGTTCCGAAAGTTAACTGCGTCACTACAAGTCCCTTTCCTTTGTGTAATGCGTTATTCTTAGATTGGAACTTTCAGTTGTTTAATTAGTTGCTGTGGAGTCGATTTGAGGAAGTAACTAACCGGTGTTTACAGAACATTTGACTTCCATCAGTCTTATAGACTGAAACATCAGGCGTCTGTACTGTTATTAGCTGGAGAATTCAATAATAGTAATGATTCCATGATAAGCTAAGACGCGTTCAAAAGGAGATATAGAGTTTGACTTTTTGTTTAATCTACTTATGACTTCTGAAAAACATCATAGCCATAACTTTTCAAAGCAGGAAAGAACCGATTTAATGGGGCACCACTCTGACAAATTACCCTAATCTATTCAACGTGTAATTTAGCACCGCAGCAAAGTAGCTAAATGGCATTGACTACTATGTATGCAAAGTTAGAATACCAATAATCCGAAGAACACCATATGCATTTTTTGATGGCCATCATTCAAATCTTGCCCCTTACAGAACATCAGTTCCTAATGACAGCCAGTAATAAGTAGAAGAGCCGATCATTAGCAAGATGTACCATGCAACCATCTAATCGCTGCTTTCGTGTTAGGAAGCGCAAACTAGGAAATTAGATTTCATACAATAAGTGCAGTAGATCTAGCTGGATCCCCCTCCTCACTTTGCTTAATCAACTCATTTTCATTACGCTTATGTTTCTGGAGAGCGAATTAAATATTATGGCATATCATCCTTGACTTAAGAGAAAAGTATCCGAGCATCTGCAACATGCGGAACACAGTAAAGTCCTGTTGAAAATAACCACGTGAAAGCCTTATGGGTTATGTCCGTATAATGAATAGTTTGAACTTGATCAACTGCTCTTACTAACATAGTATATTAAGACAAAATCTCCAGCGATTAACTCACCCAGAAGTAGTAGTTTCAGACACTTTGATTCATTCTTGTAAGATTTTTTCAGTTGTCTACCGATTAAACGTGAAATGTGTTTGGCTTTTCTGCTGTTTTCCTCTTCCTGAGATAGTGGCCCAGTGCAACACAAAAATGTCATTGTGTGAACTAGCTCCACAAACAACCCTTGATCCGGTACACCTGATCAGGGTGGTGACTTAACTGTGCCGAAGTGTTTCTTGTTTAAATTATTCATCACCATTCTTCGCCTTGCGAAAATCGACCTCAGTTGTAGATCAAAACACTGAGTGCCGGTACTTTGTGAGTTATGCAGCCGCCGATTCGCTCTACACACTCAAACCCCACAGGGTCATTCGTCCATCTGATTAGAATTCATTCTGCATGAGATAACTGGACGACCGGTCTGTGCAACGCCGCAGGTTGCATTGCGTTCCAGACACATTCGGGCCAACAGGCTTTCAGATCATCCAAGCAGATTAAACATCTGATTGGCTGTTTAATTATGCACTGAATGATTCATAATCATCAGGCGCTCAAACTGTAACTGCTGTTGGGAATGAAGGGATTCTGTAATGGCACTGAATTTGAGCGGATTCAGGAGATAAACTACACATCTTCAAGTATCATAATTGGATCCCCATGCGTTGGTCAAATGAATGCTCATCAGAAGAACCAGGCGTTTACCTGTCGATTACCGTCAATGTACTTTTGTAAACCTATGAATGATACCCAACATCCCGAAACCCAGACAAACGCCAGATATAAATTTTGGTCTTTGGAGGAATGCACACTTCAAAGTAAAAATAATGGTATGTTAACTTTCCCAAATACATGCTGCTACCGTAATTTAGTGAAATAGTCACTTTCAACATGTGAGGAATTTCTCCACATAATAGACAGTTTTCATAAGGTGTCTGAATATTCACTCTGCATGGATGCATAACCATATTGTTGTCTCGACTTGGATAAAAGTGATTCGGCAGCCTTATTTGCCTTTATAACTGTTATGACAGGCATCTGGTCTCTTCTACAGTGTGATCTGGTTTTAAATGCCGCAAAGAATGGGCCTGGGTTCTGGGAGAAAAACATCCACCATAGCTTGATCTTACTTAAACATCCACAACAATTGATTAACTCCTGTGTGAGGTATGTTGGATTGCTATCGTTCAGCGCTGCGTTTTATTGGGTATGGCACAAATACCTTGCTATATTTTCTTTTTGAAAATTAATCCATGACACTGAAGTTTAATTGAGTCTGGAAAGTGCTAGTTCAATTTCATGTGTCAGACTCTGCTTAGTTTCAAAAAAATCTGTATCAGTCGTTGAATTCCCTGCTTGCAACATTTAATGATCCGACACTTTAGTGTCGGCCACAGAGTTCAACGCTCAAGCTACTATAGCTGTCGAGAATCTGCCATTTACAAAGAACGCACACAAACACTGCTGTATAGTCTTGCATTTTGAAATAAATGTATAAATATGTGGGTAGTAAAAGGAAGAAGTTTCGTGGATACTCTGACGGTTATTCGTAATTGTCGCCGCTATTGTAAGCATGTGGTTTTTGAATACAGTTTGTTTCTTTTAAGCTCTAGCCTATCGCATGAAAGACAGCTATTTTTGAGGCTAAACCAGCATTAATAGGGTGAACAGTCTCGTCTGATGCTAAATTTTGGGACAGTTTCTGAGCACGCAACCGCAATCACCCCACCAGGCAAACTATACGACGGAATCGACCCGCTTTGACATTTCACTGAAAACACTTGATTAAGCTTCGCATCTGATCTGGTATGTGACAAAACGAAAACCGAGAGATCTCGTAGCTGTTTTCAATGATGCGTTTCGTATTATAGGACGCTAATCCTGAAAGGTGGTCAAACACGCATTCCTGAAAATAATGGTGTGTGAGTTCACGATGGTCCAAATTCAATAGTGTATCCCGCGAAGGTTTTAAACGTAGTACACGTCACTTAGCGCACTACACATAAGAGAAATTGTGTCTTGCAACATCTTTTGAGAAACATTTGGCTATTTTTGATTGGCATAATGCATGTCCCTCAATATAGCATCCACCAACATTAACAAATCAACAAATAGATAAACAATTTTAGTACAAATTTTTCTTGCCTAGTTTCGATTATGTAGTCACTCGCTTTCTCACTTGGATACACCAGCAGGGCTGCAATGGCAACAGCAAGCGCACAGAGAAGGCATGATCCATTAAGTTAGTGAAAATCTACTTTATAGGAAGGAAGTTTCGGATGGCCCACAGAGTTATTCGTCGTAATCGACATATTTGCCGATTTAGTTTTATCGACTTCGGTCTGATTGATATTCAGTTTTTTCACAGTGCTCTTCCGTCTCGTGGAATTTCGGTCCGTCGCATTGATCAATTGACTGACATTACACTGCAATTCAGCATCCGAATAGGTGCAAACTGGTGAGTCCTCCCACGCCTAGTTACAGTCACACAAATTGCTGTTCACAGTGTGCAGCGGAACTGGACATCACTTAATCGCATCATTGTTGAGGCAACATCACTTGCTGCTTACTATTTTTCTTTGACGTGTTGAATAAAATATAAAATACTGAAAGTCAGAGCGATACGTCTTCTGAGGAGACAGTATACAATATGCCTTACTATCCAATATGCCATATTCACTCTAAACTAAAGGCGGATACTATATTTTCTGAATCTCTACTATCGGATAAGCTTGAAAAGCTTCTGTCTGTAACTTTCCTTCAGTGATGTTGCATGGAACAATTAAGAACCGACCTGCTCGTTATATCGAGTTACGTGAATCGCATCCCTTCTGTGAGGACGGTCACTACTAAGACCAGAAGAACGAGTTGCCCGGAGGCGGGTAGAAGCCAAAAATGTGCCGGAGGCTGTGCACTAGTTCCAATTGGCCCACTATTGCTTTACCTGGCCAGACAGATTTCTGGGGATAATATTTTGATATTTCTTCGCTTTAGCCTGTAATAAAACCGTCCGGTAAAATATTAGCTCTGTATTTTAAGTGGAAAGGACCACATTTGCTTTCACACTCAGGGCTTTGATCCATCCACAAGTTATGCGATGAATTGAAACAAGTGCGATGTCACGAAGAACAGTATCTCCATACTTGTATGTACTGTTGCGGCTTTTGGGTATCAGCTGTCCAGTTGTAACTATTTAGAACGTAGTTGAAAATGTTGTAATTGGACAAACTTTGTTTTATCATTCCCGTATTACAAATGGATGTGCCCTAGATAAGCAACCCTCGCTAGAGTTGCGTATCTCAGTTATACACCCCAGTCATTTATTCTTTAAGGACATGGATAGGTTGGAGACTTTTTGACATTGCTCCTCCCAACACTGACACTCCATAACCGGTTTCATCCTTGTTTGGCTTCATCAGATAGAGATAGCTTGGGCTGGGGTGAAACTCGCAGCCTAGTGTTTGAAGGCTGACGCCTTGATCACCATGCCCCTAAGATCCGTGAGTTACAGCGGTAAGAACTCAACTGAACACTTTGTTGTATCACGATGGTGTTAGCAACTTGTTGTGTAGTGGTATTAGACAAGTCAATAAGCTCTAACAACTCTGTTCTGTAGAAAACATTCCGAAGAAAATGCAGAGCAATTATTCAGCGAAATTATCGTACATTGTCTACCACAGCTGAGGTAAAGCCGATGTGCCGGACTGGATATGGGACCTTATTCGAATAGGCAATAATGAAGAAGAGAACAAACGTTTCAAAGTCATCAACCATGCGAATGCTAACGCAACTAGTAAAGCGATTGCCTGAATACTAAATCGGGCGACGATTCCCTAGGGATATTGGTAAAATGATTAATTTGGTAGGATTTTCTACCACATCAGACCGAACTGGGGATAAGCTGGCTGAAACGCAGCTACCTAGAAAAGGCTATTCGATCTACGTGAGGTTTGTTTATAGTTGGTGAGCCTAAAGAAAGGGCCGACTGCGGGAACCAGTGGAGTGGGTGCTGAAATCACATAAATCATAAGGGAATTCCACGGCCAACCAAGTAAAAACAATTCCGACTGCATTCCAGCCTATTGTATGGGGTGGCCAGTTTCAGCTGGTCTCAACAATTTTGTTTTGCGGCTTATATGACGTGGCGGCAAGCATGACAAAGTTTTTCAAGGTTATGATACGCCAGAATGAGGCCGCTACAAGCACAGCGATAATTTCCGCTGTGCACTACCAGGGCCTTCAATCGCAGATGTTATGGCGGGTGATCAATCTCTTGTGATTTTGGGTTGATTTTCGCTTTGGGATCCTTAGTGCAACTAAATCGCGAAGCCTTAATCGCGGGCTATCCATGGGACATTACATACGCATGGGGAACTTGAAGGAAGATAGAGGGGTCGAGCCGTCCGTATGCACTCCGTAATGGACCAACACATGGGTTCGTGGTTGTAGACGCCTTCAAGAACTAAACTGAACAGTTGAGATCATTTTTTGCATCACCACCCCAAGGTCGTGCAACTATAAGACAGACTTCCTGGCGTGTTCATCAGGCTGATATGCGTTGGTGGGCTTGTGGCTTACATGTACTGTTTACCTTAAACGGTAGATTTTCCGTTGGCCATTTACAAGTACGGTCTACTTCCTGTTGCAGGAGATCCTGAACTGCAGGACTGCTGATGGCCTGCCATATATTAATGGTATCGACAAAGTCCGTAAATTCGACTTACTAACACGCTCAAGATTGTTGATGGAGACCAGGAATAAGCGTAGCCCTAATGCTGATCCATATGGAACACTGCAGTCCACAACAACTGGATGCGATAATGAGCTTCGAACACGAAACTGCTGCCGCTGAAGAAGGAAATTTCCAAGGAAATCCATCCATTCCATCCAAGGACAGCGTAGCCAATTCCATACGTCTACAACATTTGGGAAGGTGGCGATCTAAACGGTTGAAAGCTTTAGAAAGGTCAATGTAGCTGACATATGTTCAGGTCCCACTATCGGCTTTTCGGTCCAAATCGCACACGCAATCAGTAACATGGTAGTACATAACCGATCTTAACGGAATCCGAGTTGCTCCCGTGCCATGATTTTCGATTTTACTAAATGTCCCATTAATGACTCAGCTATGCTCGACTCCATCAGCTGTGAGAGCGCTAGAAGACAAATCACTGGGCAATATTTGGCCTGTCCCGAATGGCCGCCACCCTTGAAAATCGGGGTAATGTTAGCCTGCATTCACATGTTAGGGACCTGCTGTTTATTTAGGTATATTTGAAAGATTCGGTTTACTGACTCGGCTATCCTAGCAGCTTCTGCTTGCAGTAATTTCAGGTGCATATTGTCAACTCAGTGGGAACTATGGGTGCGCAACAAT